AAAACTGCTCAATTTCAGCTCAATCGGATTGATGCCTAACTTCAACTAGCCATATCTCTCTCATTCGGACTCGGCTTTAGGAGATTCTTGAGTGAAAAATGAAGCCTCGGAAATCCAATTTCCAATGGTGGTAGTCTTATCGCTAAAATCCAAGTGTACAAAAGGATAGGCCTGATTTAGCGAGGGTTGCTCAACTCTCTCTCTTAACGATTCATGCCCAACTTCTTCCCCAGCTAGGTTTCTTCCCTCTCCTCTTCTTTTCTCCAACTCCAAACCCCTAAACAAGATGTTTTAAAGATTTTTTCAAAGAGTTCACCTTTCTTTCATTCATTTCTACTTTATCCTTGCTCAGTTTACCAAAAAGCGCAACATTTAACGAAATGCGAGTCTCAGAACATCGTAGAAACTTCTTTCAAAAATGTTTTGAAAGAGAGGGTTTTAAGGTCTAAAAATTATTTTGGTCAAAATCGTTTTTGTCCAAAAATAGGGTATGAGGTTGGGATTTGGAGCTCCTCGTGCCGAAGAAATCGAACCATTGCATAGCATAGCCTTCACCATCAAGTAAACAATCAGTGGCACCCAAGTCTTAAGGGCGGTCAAAAATAGGGTTTCTACATTGTGAAATGACTAAATTGTTGGGAAAAGTTCGGAATATGGAACGTTGCTATCTAAGTGATAGAATTAAATGCATAGGTGGCTATTATGTGTAATTACATTGAAAGGAGGAAAAATGAGAAATGTGATTGTTATGGTATTATTGTTGAGATACTTGAAAATGGAGAAATGTTATGTAGTGATGACGATTATTGCATTGCATATTCATTCAATTGATTATTACAAGATTATTATCTAGCTTTGGCATATATTGTATTGGCATTTCTAACTAGGGGTGTGCGCGGTGCGGGTCGGTGCGGTTTGAGAGAAAAATAAAAACCGTATGGCGGGGGGGGGGTTGGTAGTTTAGGGGTGTGCGCGGTGCGGGTCGGTGCGGTTTGAGAGAAAAATAGAAACCGTATGACGGGTGGCGGATTGATAAAAGTGTCACTAGAATTTGCCATTTTCCTTATCAAAAACCGGCGGTTCGGTTGGCAAATAATGGCGGATTTGCCTTGGCGGTTCGGGCGGATTGGCGGTTTATAAAAAATATAATTCAAATTACAAAACTTAAATCAAAGAGTAAAAAAAAGACGAGAGATACCGTGATGTTAAGCATCTTGCGAAGCTTTCTTCTGATGCAGCAAGTGTAGCAACAACATGATAATATCAACGACTATGCCATCAGTTCATTACAAGCATCTGTGGAAACTACAATGATCAAATACAATACATAAAATTAATATCATTCAGGGTTTACAATATATTGAAAATGTTTACTGTTGAAAATTATTTAGATTGAAAAGTGAACTGATGCAAGTTTGCAACATGGCCAGAAAAAAAAAAGATTGAAAAGTGACTTGGAAAAACCGTATAGCGGGTGGCGGATTGATAAAAGTGTCACTAGAATTTGCCATTTTCCTTATCAAAAACCAGCGGTTCGGTTGGCAAATAATGGCGGATTTGCCTTGGCGGTTCGGGCGGATTGGCGGTTTATAAAAAATATAATTCAAATTACAAAACTTAAATCAAAGAGTAAAAAAAAGACGAGAGATACCGTGATGTTAAGCATCTTGCGAAGCTTTCTTCTGATGCAGCAAGTGTAGCAACAACATGATAATATCAACGACTATGCTATCAGTTCATTACAAGCATCTGTGGAAACTACAATGATCAAATACAATACATAAAATTAATATCATTCAGGGTTTACAATATATTGAAAATGTTTACTGTTGAAAAGTATTTAGATTGAAAAGTGAGCTGATGCAAGTTTGCAACATGGCCAGAAAAAAAAAAGATTGAAAAGTGACTTGGAATCCAACTTTATTTTGGATTACTGACATCTTGAATTCCCCTCGAGCAGTAATGTAATTCTATATTCTAAGGTATAGAACAACAAGCAAAGAAAGAATTTTTAGAATCTTATAAAACATGATTTAATAGCGGTGCGAGTCGGTGCGGTTTGGAAGAAAAATAGAAACCGGCGGATTGATAAAAGTGTCACTAGAATTTGCCATTTTTCTTACCAAAAACCGGCGGTTCGATTGGAAAATAATAACGAATTTGCCTTGGCGGTGTGATTTGGTGCGATTTTTGCGATTTCGGCGGTTTCGACGGTATTATGCACACCCCTATTTCTAACATTGCATTGTTGCAAGTTTTGAGTTAAGATTTGAAAACATTTACATTGAGAAAGAAATGTTGTGAAATGAATTTATTGAAATGTTTTGGGGTAAATATGTTGGTAAGTCCGAATAGAGGGTGTAGATGAAATTGATTAAGTTGGCCTGAGTGTCCAGGGTGAAAGACCGAAAACACGCGTAGCAGAGGTACCACTTCCCTTCCGATTAGCAACTGGTAAAGTGGGGTTTAGTAGTGCTAGTTATGCCTATTTGCAGACACCAACCTAGGGATTATTTGAGTCGTATTTACCGCCCCTCTGAAATAAATTGTAAATTTCTAAATTATTGATATATCAAGTTAACATTGAACATGGTGGTTTTCAAAAGATGTAAATGTAGTATTCTTTTAAAAGACATAGCATGGTATATGCATTTCATATTGGGAATCTTGCATAAATGTATATACTTTGTTGAGAATTCTCTATTGGGCTTTATGCTCACTCCTATGGGATTTTAGTGTAAGAAAAGACGTGGTGAACCTGCCGAACTAGGGCGTGGAAGTATGTATTGAGAGCACAAGGCTCTATTTTGTTTGTGATTGTAATTTTTTGTAAGCCAAGGGCTATTCATGTATGGGTCCGAGAAACCATTTTTGTGTAATCAGGCTTAAGCCTTGGGACTTGTAAGCCCTTGAGGGCATTTACTTATTTTGATTGAATGATTCTACATGCTATAAATTCATGTACTAGAATTCATTGAATGTATAACTGCATGTGAGATTATTCTTATATAAACATTGAGATTATGTAATGGAATATGTTGGGATATTTCCGGTATCTCTTAAGAGCCATGGTTATTATTATTATTTCATTAGTATCTATTTTTTTGGGGCGTTACAAATAATATTTATCTTCCTTCAACATGTGGAGAGTGTTAGGATCCAAATCCCTAAGACCAAGAAAAAGAGGCAATTGTTTGGGTCTCTATCGCTCTCAAATGTTCATATTTTCTTGGATCTTAAGTAAGACCTTTCAAAGATAAAAAAAACGTAAAAATTTTGAAATGCAAACTATTTTCCTTTTCATGTGTCCTTTTTTTTTTTTTTCCTTTTTTTTTTGTGACAATCAAATTCAAAATCTAAACACAAATTTAGTTTTACCTTGAATCGTTGCAACTCTCTCTATACCAAAGATTTTAAAGGGGATGTAGCACTTCTATATTTTTTTACTTTTTTGACAAGGACATATAGATGAAATTAGCTACCTTATGAAGGAAAAGGAAGACAAAACAATATTAAGAAATGATAGGTTGAAATGAAATTCGATGGCTCAACCAAAAAAAAAAAATAAATAAATAAAACAAAACAAAACGCAATTTACCTCCTTGTATAAAACGTAGAGAGAAAATTACTATTATATAAAACAAAAATGTTGTGTAATTTTTAGATTCCAAAGCATTAATTCATCTATATTTTTTTGAAAATTCTAAATTTACAAAATACAAAAAAACATATTATTTAATAATTCAATTATATATATATATTTTTTTTAAGGTTGTAATTAATTATTTGATCATTATAGTAACACATTTTAAATTTTCTATTATTAACCTTTCAAATACCTTAATTAATGGATTTTTCAAAGTATTTATATGGAAATCAAATCATTTGAAAAAAAATAATTAAGAATACATTTATTTATTTATTTATTTTTTATTATTATTATTATTATTATTATTATTATTATTATTATTATTATTATTATTATTATTATTATTATTATTATTATTATTATTATTATTATTATTATTATTATTATTATTATTATTATTATTATTATTATTATTATTATTATTATTATTATTATTATTATTATTATTATTATTATTATTATTATTATTATTATTATTATTATTATTATTATTATTATTATTGTTATTTTGTCACAAGAACACTACTTTAAAATGTTCGCCTAAATTTTATTTCTTATTGAATTCTAAGGACTCTACAATAATTAGTGATTTGCATGGGACAATTTTAGTGAACATATTAACAACATAGAACTCAACCCCAAAAGTTAGTTGCTAAGGTGAGGGCACCCTCACGTTTATACACTACACTTTACTTTAGAAGCCCTACACTTAAGTGTGATTTGGATGACGAAAAAGGAGGTACTAATCTTGGGATCTCTTGCATTACCAAGCAATGTGAGATTTCGCATCACACCCTCCCTCCCTCACTTGGTAGCACCCACCACATGCAAGCTAGGGATACGCACCCTACCTATCCCTGGTTGAACTTAATCCCAAAAGCTAGTTATTTAGTGGGGATGCCCTCACGCTTATATAGGGCACATTACTTTCATAGTTGGGCGATGTGAGACTTCACTACGCACTAACATCCCATTAAATTGAACAAAATAATTTGGAGATGAAGCAGCATGTTTTCAATTACCAACACACTTATTTTCAGCACTAGACATGATTTCTGATAGAAAATACTACCATGTATTATGCATTTGTGCCAGCGTAAACAGACTAGGGTTTTGGGACAATCCACATCAATTTCAAAAAGTAACGATAACATATTAGAAGAATTGGGCCTACCATGGAAGGATAAATTGTTACATAGCTAATTTCTACTGCATCAACAAGCCACTGTTTTTATATACTTCCTTCAACATGTTGCAGAGTTGCTACAATTTTTACCAGAACATCCCTAATACCTGCAAAGATAAAAAGTCAAGATGTACTCTGAAAGTGAAGTTTTCGGCTATAAAGGCATGAAACACAATAATGGTCCTTTTAACTCGGCGAAGAAATAAAATTTAAAGATTCCAGTTTCAGAATTTACTGATTATTAAATATAGTTTCCCTAAATTACAGCTAGGTTACAATTCTGTGAAAAACTAACCATCTGATCTAGTGTTCAATAGATAAGCTTTCAGTTTTCCCAACTCACTTGGTGGGATGGAACCAATTTAAACTAGCCTGGCCTTTGCTTGCATCGTTTTCACTACCTTGGAGAATTCACCATGTCCTTTCACTAAATTTACTTCTAAAACCTGTACAGGGCATGCAGTAGTTAAAGTTACTGAACTAGCAGAAAGCTCAAAAGCTATGGTGTGTACAATATATAGGGAATAATGAAATTCATTTCCTGTAGAAACACATCATGCCCAACAACAACTCAATCTTGCTTTTCCATGTGCAGCCCATAGGCAACGTAAAATACCCAATGGCAGTGCATGACTTGGTGAAACTAAGACCAGGGATGAAACTGACCAATTCAAGCTGCTTGATTTGGTTTTACTGTGCTTACTGGTTATGCTTCCAAGATTTGAAGAACACAGATGACATCGGATACCAGGTTGATTTTGAAAGATTCAACATGGGCCTTATTCACCTTGATTTTGAAAGATTTACATCGCTCACTCTACCTTCAGTGTAAGATTCACCTTAGGCCTCTATTTAATTAAGCTTACTAACAGGTAAAAAACAGACTCATAAGGCCAGCCCAATTAAGCAGCCATTATTTTTTAATTTATTGATAATGTTGTACTTCAAGTATATGATTAATAAAATATAATAATTCGGTGCAAGGTTCAATTTTCTAGAACTGACTTTGGTGGCCTCCTTCTAGGACTTTGGTACAAACCGCAACCAACCAACCCAACCTGTGTGCACCCTATACCTACCAACCAATTTGTAAGAGAACTATTCCACTAAAACATAGGAAAATGTGATATTTTTAAGATGTCTATCAGAGGGAGAGAGAGAGAGAGAGAGAGAGAGAGAGAGAGAGTTGCAAATCATGTAAAGACATTAGATTTCTGAAGGACATCAGCCTTTTGAATAAGTAAATTTAGATCACTAATTTAGAAAAAAATAATATCCATGTAACAAATATAATCACAATTGTGAATACCCATGGAAGGGTAAATAACCAACCCTGTCGAGCCTTCGCAAGACATCTAACAACTGCAGACCACTCTACTCCATCCCTGGAATAGCGTCTGAGTGCAATACAGGCAACGAAGAAAAGAGGACCTCCATGCAATTTTCCATGTTTGATACATACTCTCGAGTGTCAAGAGAAGTTTCCATACAAAGACATAGACTATACTTGCCTATGATAGACCTCAAGATCTGATCCTAGGATGCAGAGGTAACTGGGATACGGGTCAGCCGCTTGTTCGAGGGTGAGCCGGCCTCCATGGTTCAATCACACCCTATATGAGGAGGCCTTCATGCATATATATTTTTCAATGACCAGCCATCCTTAATCATCTACGCAGAAAGTCACTGCAACCTTGGAGAATAAGAATTTTGATTACTATGCCGAGGAGAGTATGTGGTTTTCTCTGTGCAAGATATAAGCATATTAGGAGCACAAAAAGGTGCAACAATTTAAAGTGCATAACCAACAAGGGCACTCCACTTTCACAGACTAGTGAAAAGGTAAGAGGAGCATCAATGATAAAATAGTTTTGTTCGGTTTTCAAATCTCAAAATTGTTTTCAGAAAATTAGCTTCAAAGAGACTACTGTAGACACCCCATTTTTGACCGTCCTCAAGACTTGGACGTCACCGCTTGAACACTCGGTGATCATCCATGTTCGTGATTGTTTTGAGTTCCCGGAGGTTTTGGCTACGCACCTTGCCTCAGGATCTCTTTACTTGCTTGTTCTGTGCTTGGTTTTACACCAAGGACTTGTTTGTTTTTGCACCTGAGGATACGGAGCAACTTGATAGCTACCCCTGATACCCACCGGCTATGTCTTGAAGCCATCGGCCGTGTTTTGAGACTATCGGCCATTGGTGAAATAGTTCATTGGTCGGTCCGCATTTTGTTTGGCCAGCCGACCATCTGTTTGGCCGATGGCCTCCTTTTCTGGCCGGTACCACCTTTTTGCCTTTTTAAGGCATGGTGCATCCCAGCTGTGCCAGCTGGAATGCACAAACCCTGCCCCCGTGCACATCTGTGGCTGTTTTGCCCCTTTTTGCACCCTTTTGGTCTAGCTTCTTGAGGAAGCTTGACCTTTGTCTTAGCTTCCTCAAGAAGCCTGGACACCTGTCCCAACTTCTTAAGGAAGCCTTGGCTCCTTTGCCTTGGCTTCTTTAGGAAGCCTTGCCCCCTTTGTTAGCTTCCCTTGGAAGCTTAACCTTTTCCATTGTCTATATAAGAGACCCCTCTTCTCCTTTGATGAGGTTCAGAAAAAACCAGAGCAAGATACATATATATATATATATATCTAATATACACTTTCTCTTTCTATATCTCCCTCTCTCTCTTCATTTTGTGTGTGTTTGAGGGCCTAAAGGTGAGTTTTGTTCTTGGTTTTGCACTAAAACACATACCATCACACCATACTTCAACTTGGGAGGTCTTAAGGGTTTGTTCTTGAAGTTTTGAGGTGGTTTTGATCATAAGGAAGAGGCTGAGCTTGCTGTTCTTGAAGTGTTCTTCAAGGGTAACACTTTTTGCTTTATTTTCCCCAATCTTGCACTAGTCTTTAACCTATCTTGCTTACTGATTTAGACTTTGTGTATAACTAAAAAAAGTCTTGTATTTTCATGCTTAAGATACTTCATTAAGGTTGTTTTGGTGTTGGGGGTCGACCTCCCCCTCTAAGGCCTTGTTTGGCCCTTTTTGTGCTTCCATTGTTAAGCTTTGGTTACTTTGGTGTATTGGCCTTCTCACCACGGAAATCCAATGGATTTTTAGTGGTGAAGAAGGGGGTTTGAAGTCTTGCATAGGGGAGGGACACCCCTCTCCCCTTTGTGTCTCATTTGTCCATGTTTTTGGCCCTATTTCAGAGGTTCTTGGATATTATTTGGTCATATGTTGCCTCTGTCTTTGGTCGGATTTATGGCCCTTTGCATGCATATTGTACTTGCCTTGCATTCTCCCATTTTGCCTAGAAATGTGCCTTGCATTTAGGCCATGATGCTTGCATGTTCTAGCTTAACTTCATGAAGGTTTTAGCATTATTTTGCCATGCTCAAGGACTGTTGGGTGCTGATTTGACCATGTTTGCCATGTTTGGTATAGTTTCTATGTGTTTTGGCTTGTGAGCCTTGAGTGTGTAAGCCATAAGCATGCCTCATTTGGTCTATTTTCAGTGATTTGGAATCATTTGCCATGCCATTTCAGTCCATGTTTGATGCTTGTATACTTGGATTTGTTCTCCTTGCAATGCCTTAAAGAGGTGTAGTCTTATGCTCCATGTTTTGGCTTTGGTGTATGCCTCTTTGCTTGAGCCATTTAGGATGCCATTTATGTGGGTTTTGGGGCTTATTCTACCATACCATATCTCTGATTTTGTAGGTCTTGATATCCATGCTTACCCTTTTTTGGGTGCTCTTGATAATTGCCTTCCATGCCTTAGCTTTAGGCCCTTTGGTTTGCATATTTGTTTTGCATATAGGCACCTCCATTTTGGGCATTTTTGGCCACTGTTTTAGGGTGGGCTAAGGCCTTCTCATTTCAGTATAAGTCCATCCTTGCATACTTTGCATGTTTGACATGTTGCATTGCATTGGTTGCATGCTTATATTGCATCATGTTTGCATGTTTACTTAGCTAAAGTTGCATTATATAGTCTTGTTGTATGCTTGACATGTTTCATATTTGCATTAGTGTAGCCCTTGCATGAGTTACATCACTTTGCATTGCAGTATGGCATACAATGCATTGCATCGCTTAGTTTGGGGTGTCAAACCAAGCATGAGGGGAGAGGTGTGTTCGTACCCGAAGTGACGAAACACATCTCACACCTCGGTCGCCCAATTACCCCTTGATTTCAACATGATAGGGTGTTTAGCACTCATTTGTTTGTTGCATGCATCCTACTTAAGTTGCTAAACATTGGCTCTAGGCCATCATGCATCGAATTGCGTAGTTGATGGCCCGAGGGTCGAGGGCCCTGCTCCTTTGAGTCCATTGCATGATAGGGAGTGTGGCCATACTCACATTTGCCTGAAAATTCCATGCCATACACTGCTTGCCCTCCACTGCTGTCAACTGTAGGATTCTGCAGGAAGCAATGGCCGGCCGGCCACCTACAGTGTCGACTGACCATCAGTGGCTGGCCGGTGGTACAAAAGTTAGCCGATAAGCCCATTACCATGGCCGGTGAACTTTAATTATGGCCAGTGACATCCCAGAGCACTCAGAGGATGATTCAAAAGGGGTCTGGAGACTTTCAGAATTTTCAGAGGAGCAAGGCAGTGAAAACAGAGGCAGCAGTGCTATGGCAGCGAGTTTCCGGGTGAGACGAGTCAAGCATGCATCATTCACACATTCTGAGGCAGGGCTGCGACCACCTTCCTTCTACATTTAATTTATTAATTAGTTAGGAATTCTGTAACAATTAATTTAGTGGTATTCATTTGGTTGTGTAATATTTATTCAGACCCTTCGAGTGAGGGCAATTGTGTAATAAGTGTGCGTGAGTGTGTGTATGTCTCCCAACCCCACGTCTTTTTTCCCTTTTATTTACTAGCTTTCGATGGTTAGTCTAGGGCATGTTTCAATTAGCATACAGTATGATAACATGTTTGCATCCATTCATTCGTTTTGCATGCACCGGGCGAGTATCATTCTAACTGCATTTGTATTTCAATTCCAAATTGAATACGTGCTAGTTATAGCATTTCACATGTCATTGTAGATTAGCCGAGCCTATCTTAGTTGCATTTTGTATATGTTGCATTAGCCATCTTAACATGAACTAGGATCATGCATATGATTACTAACTAGTTTATGTTTTGGCTCGGAGTACTCGGTAAGTTCTTATGCTTTAGCATCCTTGCATGCGTGTGAGTGTTGCCATGACAGCATGCTTACCATGAGGCTATTTGCTTATGTGATATAACTGCTTGAATGCCTGTGGATGGAGGTTGAATTACCTAAATTGGAATAATGCATTAAAACTGTGAGTTTTAAGCCCACTAGATAGTGGCAAAACCATCTTTTCTAAAGCCCACTTGAGGGTGGCAAAACCTGCATTTTAGCCTATTTGCGAGTAGCAAGCCATTTTCGAAACAAACATGCAATGTT